TTTTTTTTTTTTTTTTTTTTTTTTTTTTTTTTTTTTTTTTGGTATTGGGGATTGAAAGCAGGTCCTTGCGCTTATGAGGCAGGCAGTAGCTCCACTGAGCTAAGTCCCAAGCCCAAAGGTAGCCTTTTCAACAGTTACTGTTGGGACAACTGGATGTGGACACACAAAAGAATTAATGTGGACATCTTCATGGTACTGCACACGGAAGATAACTCAAAATCTATCACAGGCCTCAATTAAGAGCTAACATTAAAAGATTCTTATAAGGATACATACAAGTAAACCTTTGTGGCATTAGTGAAGGCAAAGACATCTTAGATATAACATTAAAATAAAAAAGGAAAAAATTAATAGGTTAGATGTCATCAGAATTTCAAAGGACACCATTAAGAAAGTTAAAAATAGAAAAAACATCTAAAACTGGGAAAATTATTTGCAAATCATATAGGGACTAATATTCAGAATATGCAAATAATTCTTACAACTCAACAATAAAAATATAAATAACAGGTTAAAATATCACTAAAAGATTTGATTAGACATATGTATAAAAAGGTATTAAAAATGACCAAAAAACATGAAAAAATATGCTCAATATCATTGATGAGGAGGAAAATATATCAAATCAAAAGGAGACATCACTTCATAAGCACTAGGACTCTATAATCAAAAGGAAAATGAGTGCTGGCTTATATGTAGAGTAGTTGAATCCATATACATTGTAGTGAGAATGTACAATGTTGCAGTGATGCTGGAAACAAGTTTATAGCTCCTCAAAAGGTTGAACAATGAATTACCATAGAATCCAGCAATTCTAAGAAAAATGAAGTGTACATCCAGAGCAAACGTTGTAACCAGATATTTATGGCAGCATTACTCAAAATAGCCCAAAGGTGGAAATAACCCAAATGTCTATAAATTAACAAATGGATCAACAAAATGGTATATATGCATAAAATTATGTGACGATAAAAAAGAAGGAAGTACTGATACAACTTTGCAACACAGGCTTTGAAAATAGTATGCTAACTGAAAGAACTCGTTTTAAGAAGACAACGCTGCTCCATTCAGTTTATATAGGATCACATTATGAATCCATTGACACAAGGTGAACAGAACGGACAAGTCTAAAAGTGTGGAGACAGAAAGTAGATTAGAAGTTGCCAGGGTTTGGAGATAGTGGGTCATGGGAAAATATTGCTAATAGATAGACTCTGTTTGTTTTTTTTTTAAATGGTGTTCCAAAATTGTTTGTAGCATTGGTTGTACAACTCTGAATATGCTAAATATTATCAAATTGTTTACCTTATTTGGGTAAATTATGTAGCTTCTGAATTATATCTCAATGTAGCTGTTAAAATAGTTAATATCAGACATTAATGTATAACTATTGCCAGCCTCATTTCCCTTCCTTCTGGGTGAGCTACCAGCAAAAGCTTTTGCAAAGACTTCCTTTTGTAGGGCCATCTCAATAAGTCTGAGTTGGATAAAACACCAAGTGATAGTATTTGCATAGCAGAAGGCTCGTGATGTGATATGATTTAAAAGGCACAGTTTCCCAAACATTTTTATTTTGTATTTCCTGAACGTATTCAAGGTGTCGAATGACTTACAGTCTTATAGGAGGAGGCATTCAAGGGTAAGAAAGTGTGTCAGTGAGGACTCATGTGGTGACTGGGAACGGGGCTACAGTCTTCGTAATTTAAAGGTAAGCTAGAGAGCTGAATGTGGGTTTGGCTTTGTTTTGGCTTTGTTCTGTTTTGTTTTGTTTGTTATGTTTTCAGCTCAAAAACTGATATTATAGGATAGATATTGGCTGGTGCTAGGTTTGATTTTACTTTTATAAAGGACTAGTTTGGCAGTCAGTGCGTGGTGGATGGAACCTCTTTGAGGCCTTACATTCCCACTGACTGGCATTCGACTTGAAACTTGGGCATCGTAAATGATGCCCAAAATTCCATATTTTGTTTTTAATCTGAGATTCTACAGTTCACTGTATCAACCACTCTGAAATCACTGATTTATTTAATGATGATTTCTTTGTACAGATAAGTAATTATAACTACCTCCTACTTACGAACATCAAGGTCTGCACTACTTTTTTGTTATTTTATTCTTCATTCTTAGCTTAAATAAATGTTTCTTAAAGGTGTGCTAGGTTTTGTTTTGCTTTCTTTGCTGAGGATAGAGAAGTAGCCTGAAGCATGAGTTAGTTTAGATTCATTTTCAAAGCCTGACTGGGAGCTACTCGGGTCAATCAGAAAGCAATAGAAGTACAACAGATTCCTTCTCAGGGGTGGCAGAAGAGGGGTGGGAGGTCACTTGCCAATCTCAAAAGCCACTTACCTTATGCAGATGGTGCAGATTCAAGCCCCCCAAAAGGCAGAACTTTCCTTCTCTACTGATTAGCACGAATGCACGCTGGCCACCCCTCTCCATTCTCAGGGCTGGGTCCCCTAGTCAAGAACAGAATGGTTTAGAGATGTCCCACCACCTCTCTGCTAGGAGTCATACACCTTAAAATATTCTTTATTACTGACTTCTTTAGTAGGAATATTAAGCAGGTTAAAGAATGTGATTCCATGTAATAAATTACTCAGTGTATAGCGAATACCACAGCATTGTCTACATTTATTTTTTTTTAAATGTCCTCAATAGGCAAGAAGGTTTCAGGATGGAGAATGACCCCCATCCATTCTTATCTTATATAAAGAATACAACTAGGAGCACAAGTAGGTTTGCATCTGAGACATTATTCAAGGAAAAACCAAAGTCTGAACATCAGGGATCCAATGAGGTTGCTGTTTCTCAGTATAATACAAGGGGAATAGAACTGAGAAACATCTATATTCAGTATCCCTTCAATAGCTCTCACGCCACACATTCCAAAATGGCTCCGCAGAAAATATTCAGAAGAGACAGCTGAAACATTCATTGGTAAGTTATTGTCGTATAATACACATTTAAAGGGAGCTACAAATGTAAAGGCAGATGTGTAATATATGGCTGGCACCGTTTTTATTTTCTTATACATCTTGCTACTGTCTGGGGGCAATGCTCTAGCGACTACTGAAATATAATAGCTGCTTTTTCTCTCAGTACACAATTTGACAGCATTTATTCTTTCCTTCAGTGAACATAATTACTTCACATATGGAACCTGTGATAGCCTACAGGCATCTGAAAGAAACCAGAATCATGCAATCTGTCCCCTTTGCGAGCTTAATTTACATTCACAAGTGTCATTTTATTAGGGCTGGCATCATGTAGAATAAAAATTACAGGTCAGCTATGCCATGTCACTGGGAAATGTGCTTAAGTCAATAATGTGGTATTATTGTATTTGGGATAATTTTACAAGAGAGATCTCACAGGAGGAATCTGACCCTTATTTCTTAGTTCCCAGCTTTGCTATTACCCACAAGGTAATTCATTTAGAAATAAGAATTGAAACAAATAGTTTACCCTGCTGTAAATATTAGTGCTGTGTGTCATACCCTTCAATAAACCTGTGTAATGACATCTACAATGTTAATGGACGTGGAAGATTTACCTTGCTAGCTTTTCAAAGGGGACATGTTTGGATTTGTAACCAAAATGGCACCAATCATAAGACTGTGCCCTTTTTCTTAGCCTGGTAAGGGTTGAATTTAACAAGATTGTGTTACTGGCCCTTTCTAACATGAGTAAAATGACATTATTGGTTCAACACATGTTCCCTGAGAATGGGAGGTATGAGGCCTGCTGTAGACTTTAGCATTAGTGGTTGTTTCTCTGATAACAGTGAATGAGTCTTAAAATTGGTGCTTGGCTCCCTACTCTTTGATGGCACAAAAAATGATTTTAGAATGAGAAGTTAGAGGAGGTTAGCAAACTCTAAATCCTGATTGCTTCATGATGCCACATTATTTCATGGTTCGTTCTTTCATGGTATTTTCACGATACAGGAATAAGTAGCCAAACATAAGTCTCAGATGGGAAAGATAGTAGGCACTGCAGTAACCCATAGAAGCCATGAGCCAAAGCCACAGCAACCTTTAGCACATGTGCTCACCACTCTCACCTTCATCCCTGTAGGGCTGGACACCAGTGTGGAAAGCAGTGGGTTAATAGAAAGCCAAAATCAAGCCTATGGTGGGGGAAAGGCGAAGACTCATGCTCAGACACCAAACTAAAAGCAGAGTCACTGAGGTCCAAACATGCAAGAGAAACAAACACACAAGAGGTATGTGAATAATTTTTATGAAAGGTAGGAGATCAGTGCGAACCATAATAAGCATTTGGTGTTAGGATTATTTATCAAATAAAAGTTTTGAAGCCTTTTTT